TTTCACGATAGGGGAAAGCGCACATTTTTCAGCTGCATTTACCACCAATTTTACTGTGGTCGCAACGAGGTAATTGGCAGATCTCTTTTGGTTTCAGGTTTTAAAAGTTTTCCCCCAGTCAAAATTATTCAACGCAAATAGACCAGACGTAAAAGCCGAAGTAAATCCGAAAAACCACTTTAACTTACACTCATAAATGTTTTGATATACCCCAGTGAAATGTTGTACAGTTGAATATTTTCAAATGCATGGTGTTAGTTTAACCCAAACCTAACACAACTTTTGTGCAGAAGCATACTTTTAATTCTGTAATTTAGCGGTGACCATACAAAAACATCAAGTGTCCNCGAAGCTTGGGGTGGGTCCGGTACAGTTTGGTGAGCACAGTGCCACCACCAATAGATCAAAATTTTTGCTAAACATAAAAGGTGTGAAAAACAATTTGATTTCCAGATTGAGCAGCTCACCAGCAACCAGTTTCAGATTGCTAGCCAACTTCTTTGCACGAATCAACAAGTTTTATCACTGTTGATTAAAGAGACTATTGGTTTGATAGCCTAAACATTCTGGAAGCCGTGTAAATGTTATCAAACGTATAGTCTTTTAAAAAATTACTTTGGTAAAAGGCTCGAAGTTCAAATACGACGTTAGTGAGATTTTAGAAGTATGTTGAATTCAACGTATTCTGACAAGGTTTCCAAACACACCTCTGCTTACAGATTGTTTCTCGTATACTTCCGACAGTGATTTTGTCAAAACCATTAATCAAGATAACCATGCTTTTTTCTCCCAACCTCAATGATGACAAGACTGCCGTAATTTATGATCAAGCCTAAGCTTAATTATGGATTGACTTTACCGCATTTAACATACCTCATGATGAGCAAATAAATTGTTTACGCTAAAGAAGACAGATTTAAGCTTTTGAACCGTAGCATATAAACACAAAAAGTAATTGAGAATGAACTCCCTCAGACACCCTAGCGATTCGATGAAAACTTGTGAACGAGGCTGGATTCGGTCTTCACGGATACAACGGGATATCACGTGGACTGTATAGGGTTGGGCCGAATCAACATACGGAAGCGTTGCGCGCGTTCTGGTGAGCTTATTTGACGGATAGTGAAAAGTTGTATGTTGGTCCCCGATTTGACTAGTTCAATCGGCCTGAGCAATCATGCGTGATACTACGCTGGTGTACATTGATACGAGAATTTTCTCATTAGTTGTTCATAATGCTATCTATGCATTTTGTTTTAGCTAAAGGAGACCACTGTTTGCTAGTGTCCTTGATATTTTACTCCTCTGGCTGAACGGGATTTAACTGCTGAGCGTGAAATATTATCGGTTTCTATTGACACAGATGGATACGCGTCAAATACGGAATAAAAGCTCTCATACCTGTAACAAAACTGTATTCGATAGCAAGGTTTGAGTTCACGGAATCTGATGCAACTGGTTTGTTCGTTGCCGGTTCACCGAATTGTGAATTGTTCAAAACGGCAGTTTTGAGAATCAGTTCCACTCGTGGCACACTGGTTGACATGTACCCGCGTATAAGCGGGTCTCTTTCCATTTTCGATCCGAGACAGAGTTCAAGGCGATCACTTATTTGCATCACATTTATACCGGGTGTGCCGTTATTCGTTGCGGTCCCAGAACCGGCTCCGGAAATATACAAACGGGATGACTGATCGGTCAGGGATCCCGGTGAATTGAGCAGATCTGCGTAGCTTGTGGATTTCGATGATCTCTGAAATGTGAGGATTTCCACTTGATACGGTTTCATGCACCTGTGATGAGATAAACGGATGGGAGTAATTTGGGGATTTTCTGGAAGATTATCAAAAATATTGTCCCTTCAACGCAACAGTAAACGCTATCGTATCTATTGTATATCAGAATTATATCGATGAATAGTTCAATCGTGAATGGGATCAAAGAGCCGTTTACGAGGTAAATAAAAGTTCATGCATACATAGCGTAAGTGTAAAATTTACAAGGTAATGGAATTTATGTACTTATTGATGTGTGACTTATAGGTAAGTCAATAAATTCAAATTGATCTTTGAAATGGGTTAATTTTGGTCCAGGCTAATAGTTCTTGCGCATTATAGTTTCCTGAATTGCGGAAAATTGTAAATTCATCATGCTATCCTTGTTATTTCATTCAGCGCTAAACAATACTCAAGTTGTTTGAATCGCGCATTTCCTTCAAACCCATCATTCAGTTTCGGGGAGGGAAAACCTCAGCGGACAAGGGCTCACTTTAGAAGTTCCACTTGTGGCCACGAGGAGCGCACAGTTTACAGCATTGAACTGAAGAACAGATCGTAAAATTGCGAATGGTACGTGAAAGTGGATTCGGCGCTTGATCATGAAATTCAACAGAATTCGGAGATTATTTTCGGTGTGAGACTCTACTTGTTTGCTTATCGTTATTAAAATAAAAGCTGTTAGTTCGGCTATTCGATAAATTAAAAATCCATTCGCCGTTCAACGTGTGGTAACTATCATGTTTTCCATAATCACCGCGAGTGAAGCTCACGAGATTGCCCACTAATGCGGTATAAACATTCTTGTTGACATGTTTTCATGACAGTGAGGTTAGCTTATGCGTATGTACCGTAGTTTAGTGCGAATACAATTAGATTGAAATCATTTTTATTGAATTTACTGATGATGTGCTACGTGTCCTCACTTTTGCTATATCACTTTTCAAAAGTAATGGGCGTTGCATAAGTGCTGATTCAAACGAAACAGCCCTTTTGGGACAAACGGTTAGTTCAGGTTGCGTAATAATGCAATTGTTATAGATTACCACCGGTTATGATCAGGAGAGATTCTGGTAAGAACTTTTCGGTGTTGGTTTTGAGTGTTGCATCAGACGAACGTTGAATGCACTTTGACCCCAAAGAGAGTACGCCATTTCAAGCATGAAATCCATGGCTGCAACGCGATCAAAAGATTCTGGAACGTCCACAAAGAACGGCTACCAAAATGGTCAAAGGACTGCATTCCAAGAGTTATGCGGAAAGACTGGAATCACTGGAACTGTATTGCACAGAGTATCACCGCATTCGAGGAGACTTGATCTTGGTATACCAAATAATGCCGAACCCAAACCA